CGCCGTCGAGCTCATCATCAACATTGACCCCAACTCCCTCTCCCTCTCTCTCGTGACCCCAACCCCACTTCACATCCCCCAACTCCGCCGACCCGGTCTGCGAGGTCTTCTGCTTCTTCCGCCCGTCGCTGCAGACGAGATTTCGGCACCCCGTGAAGCGATACAAGAAGATTTTGTCCGATATTTTCCCCAAAACGCAGGTGCATCTCATTTTTCATGGCTGTTGTTTTGCTGAAATTAGGGTTTTAATTTATCAATGGAGACTCTATACAAGATTATAATGTTAACCTACATGCCCCCCCCAGATCGACCGCATTTGCAAATTTGTCCTCCAAATCGAGATATTTGCTACTAGAACCCTCAATCGAGTTAAAAGAGCCCCAAACTTATGCCCTTAGTATCTGAACAGTGGAAGTGGGAGTTCTCAAATTGGTAATATTGTTTAATATGAGTTTCGGGGTATTTCAACTCAAGGTGTAGAACTGTGCATTAAAATTTTAGCAAATATCTTGATTAATAGGGGTAATAAGTCTTCACACATGGTTGGTTTGGGCGTATATAAGTAAAAACCCTAGAAAGAATTAGCGTATATTTTCATTTTTTTTAATTTGATACATCTTTGTCTCGAACATTATGATCAGGTTTTTTTTTCTTTTTTATTTTTTTCCTTTCAAATGTATGATGGTGTTATTTTAGTTCACTTTATTTCATAATGTGTTTTTTCCTTTCATATGCCTTATGCTTTAAGGCTGATGATAACTTCTATTTTGTTGATGCTGAGCACTGCCATGTTAAGAATTTGTTGGCCATGTTGACTCCTGAGAAGTCAGCTCATGAATCTGCATTCAAGAATCTGTAAAAGAGCAGGATTTTTTTAGCAAGAGCTGGGAATATGTTGCCTTATATAATCATTACTTTTTGTTTGCTTCCATTTTCTGTTTCTATCTTTAACTTTCTTGATTCTTACTTCTATTGTTGCAAAAAAAATTCTGCAGGTTGTTGGAGCACGCTTTGAAAAAAAAAATTCTGCGGGTTGTTGGAGCATACTTTGAAAAAATTGGTGCAAAAATCTTTAATTGGATCCATGCTGCATTCTATAGTTCTGGATCTTGCGACGCCTTTGTAGCCTTTCGTCTGAGTTGCCTGTGGTTGTTGAGTACAAGGTAGCAGATATGGGTTATATTAGGTTCTATTTGGCCCCCAAGATTGAAGATGATGATGAGGAGATGAAACCAGAGAGCTAGGATTTTTTTGCCAGCAAATTTTAGTGGTTTTAGTTTGACTCAGTTTCTATTGTCACTGTTTCATCTGTTAGTTTGTTCTATGTGCCCTAATTTGGCCAACTACTATTTGGATTGTGGGTTGTAACTTTGTGAATTGTTCCCTAGTTAGTCTATTTTCTGGGTTACCATTTGCTCTTGAGGAATTTGTTGACTGGTTCTAGTCTAATGAAACCATCTTTTGTTAAAGAAGTTATGTGATGTATGTGAGAAAAATACTTTCTTATGTATGTAAAGTGTGATGGACACTAACCTGGAACTTTGCTTTCCACTCGTTTATATATTCAGCAGGTGGAAACAAAACAGATCAATTAGGTGAATCCAAGTTCATTTTGATATAAATATCTGAATGTTTGCAACAATATCACTGAGTCATAGAGAACCAAACTCGCACATCGAAAATTCAGAAAGAATTCAACTTATGTTTTCCTGAATGCAGTGGGAGGCGATATTCATGTAGAATGGTAGGCTGGCAGCTCACTGGGAGACTATACAGGTTAACACGCTCAACAAGTTCAGTCCACAAGCAACTTTTTAACGTGAACTCATGAGAGACATGCACAAACTTGAACATACATGCACTTAAATCAAGACCAGTTAATCCTAGGATTAATAAAATCAACAGAACTTGCAAATATGGCGACGAGATGACAATCCCAAGCATCAATCTCAAAACTCCAAACTGTGACTAATCCATGAGAGAAGAAATCGAGATGCAAACAAGAATCACCTCAAATGATTAAGATCAATTAGCATAATGTACAGTTAGTTCTGTGCATATAACAGGATCCCCACTTCAAATTATGAATAAACCCACAAAGAAATCAGGCAGGATACATTATGAAGTAGAAGTTACTTTACACAAAATTGGAATTCTTGGCATCCAGAAAAGCTGTGATAAACCCAAAAGCAACCCCATCAGGATATACTACAATCTCACAACATAGGAAATTGTTTCATTCATTCTAGAATGAACAAAAATCATACTACAATCAATAGTCATTACATTTTTTTTCAAAATCCTCATCTACTCATCGTCAGCAGGGGTGTTTTCCTGCACCTCTTCTTGTTGTCTCTTGTTGTCTCGTGCTGCGTTTCCAGCGAGCTCTTGGACCTGATCAAAAGATAAAAAGTTAACTGTTAGGATCCCAATCCAAACCAAATCCAAACCAAATGACTAAAATGATTATATAAGGCAACAATAGAAGTAAGAATCAAGAAAGTTAAAGATTGAAACAGAAAATGGAAGCAAACAAAAAGTAATGATTATATAAGGCAACATATTCCCAGCTCCTGCTAAAAAAATCCTGCTCTTTTGCACATAAACCCCCTGGGGTAAAAGAATATATGAAACAAATCACTCGGGAGGTGTATCTGTCGTTATCAAATTAACCTCTAATGGGTAATAAGTAGTATAATGTGATACTGCATGGGGACTATAATTAACCCTAATTTAAAACAGGGCGGGGCAGTATACATGAAAATAATGTGATACTGCATGGGGACTATAATTAACCCTAATTTAAAACAGGGCGGGGCAGTATACATGAAAATTTAGCTGTTTAATCCAACTCACAACATTTTAAGTTTGTTACTAAAACAGAAAAATAAAATTTAACTTAAAATAGGGAAGTGCGCAACAAACTCTAGCAGCTTATATCAAATGCGACTGCTGAAACTTCTCTTATCGCGGTGGAGGTGATGAATTATCCTAAAACATGCATATTGGCTTCTCTTGAATTTGGCCGATCAAGTGAAATTGTAATGAAACATGTATACTGCCTTCTCTTGAACGTAGATGGTCAGATAAAACTTTACTTGATCAAAATTGTAATGAAACATGTATACTGCCTTCTCTTGAACGTAGATGGTCAGATAAAACTTTACTTGATCAGGTGCTGCTCAACACAATTCATAAGCTCATCCTGTGAATGTTATGTATGAACCTGTAAATTTGGGCATCTAGACACTCCTATATAATTCAAGGGTGTGGAGAGACATAATGTGAGGACATAATATTTTTACATCGATTAGTTGGATTTTGTCCCGTTATGTCAATACATTCATAAGACCGATCATGTGTCTCTCCACAGTGATACTAAATACGTATTGGTTCCTTTGATCTTGTTTGCAACTGACTGAAAGATCACATAATTATCATTTATTGAAAATCTTACACAAACATGAATATCTTATTTAGACTTAATTTAAAACCTTTATGGCTCGTGTTAAATTAGAAGCCTGGCTCACTGATACAGCGGCTTTGAATAATGTGATAGCCTCAAGTTTATGTTCGTTACAGCTGATGATGCATTCTCTGTTTCAGGCAAAATGTGGTTATCTCGATTGTGGAAATTGCCCTTAGTGATATTCTTATTGGCTAAATTTCATGTGTGAAGACTTATTACCCCTATTAATCAAGATATTTGCTAAAAATTTAATGCACAGTTCTACACCTTGAGTTGAAATACCCCGAAACTCATATTAAACAATATTACCAATTTGAGAACTCCCACTTCCACTGTTCAGATACTAAGGGCATAAGTTTGGGGCTCTTTTAACTCGATTGAGGGTTCTAGTAGCAAATATCTCGATTTGGAGGACAAATTTGCAAATGCGGTCGATCTGGGGGGGGCATGTAGGTTAACATTATAATCTTGTATAGAGTCTCCATTGATAAATTAAAACCCTAATTTCAGCAAAACAACAGCCATGAAAAATGAGATGCACCTGCGTTTTGGGGAAAATATCGGACAAAATCTTCTTGTATCGCTTCACGGGGTGCCGAAATCTCGTCTGCAGCGACGGGCGGAAGAAGCAGAAGACCTCGCAGACCGGGTCGGCGGAGTTGGGGGATGTGAAGTGGGGTTGGGGTCACGAGAGAGAGGGAGAGGGAGTTGGGGTCAATGTTGATGATGAGCTCGACGGCGAGATCAGCAGATCGAGATTTTGGGGCTTGATGACGGAGGTCGAAATGGCGGAGGAGGAGCTATATATATATATATATATATACACACACCAAAATCTTGCCCTGGGCAGCTGCCTAGGGCAAGTCTCATGTGGCTCCGCCACTGGTAATGTGGGGGTTGGTTGAAAATTTGAAACGAGCCTTGTATGCATTTATGTGCGCATGTAACTCCTTGGAAGTGGCTAACGAAAAACCGAAAAAGCAAGACATTTTTGGCATATATACCCCTCATATCTTCCATATTTGCAAACTTACCCTCCAAATCTTAATATTTGCAAAATATCCCCCTAATCTCTTAAATGGATTTTTTCTGCCCTTCCACTTATCGATTTTATTTTTTAAAACCAAATTATTGCAAACCTATTGGAAATTATTACCTTATTTAAATGCAATATTCTTAAATTGGAGTGGTAGAAAGACTCAATATGCAAGTTTTGAGGTGCAATTTTATAAAAATCAAGATCTGAGGGTTAGATTTACAAATATTTAAGATTTGAGGGGGTATATAAAGAGAAAACCTAAAAGTAAAAGAGCTACCACAGTTCACATCGCCTAGTTTTCATGAGGATTTTGTGGTAACGCCCCAAAAGTTCGGGGTCTTTTGTGATACTTGCCGCCGGCCAATCTAGAGAACGAGTTTGGTCGGGTCCAAGCTAATAGACCCGACCCGACCCGACCCGACCCGTCTGTTTCTCGAAGAGTTTTGTTCTGTCAACCCTCACGGTTTCTCTTTTCTTTCCAATCAAAGACTCGAAATTTTTGAGCGCTACAAGTAGAGAGAAGCAAAAAGAGGATTACAGAGAGATGGGGCTTAGAATTGAAGGAGAAATTGAAAGAGTTAATGGAAAGGAATTGAGCTACGAATCTTTTGTAGAGAAATACTTGAAGAAGAACCAGCCTGTAGTTCTCACTGGTCTAATGGACGATTGGAGAGCTTGCAGAGATTGGGTCAAAGATGATGGACAACCAAACCTCCAATTCTTCTCGACCCATTTCGGCAAATCTAGGGTTCAGGTGATTTCTCATCCAAAGCTGCCTTCTTTTTTGTTATAATTTAATTATTAGGTCTCAGTTACTGCTTGCTTAGGATTTATATATTCAGTTTTGCCCACTTGTATGAGAATTTATTTATGTGGTCTCTTTGACTTCCCCTCTTTTGTATTTGGGTTATTCTTATGACTTGTAATTTGAGGAAAAGTTTGCCCTGATATCTTTCAGTTTATCATTTGATCTTAAAAATTGTAAGTCAATAACTCCTATAGAAGCAGTAGGATAGTTCACTGGAACTTGACGTTGTGTACTTGCTGTTGAAATAAACTATATATGGTGACTGTTACATCAAAGCCTTTAGCATTTATTTTTCCTATTCTCTGATAAAAACATACCCGGGAACAAATTTTATGATGATTATCAAATCATAAGGCTTGAAATGTGAATTGGTTCTAGGAGCTCTGGATTTAAAGTTTTTGATAAATACGATGAATGAGACGAGTCTGTGCTTGTGTGTTATCACAACAAAGCTTCTGAAAGGTTTTGGGTAAAGAGGCATTACCATATGCCTTGAATTGAAGTCCATGAGTATGTTTTTTAATTAAGAACAGATATAACTGATACTCTTTATAATTATAGGTATTGAAGCATTCCATGAGTATGTTTTTTAATTAAGAACAGATATAACTGATACTCTTTATAATTATAGGTATTGAAGCATGTGCTGGTTAGCTGCATTAACTCTTAACAGATATAACTGATACTCTTTATAATTATAGGTATTGAAGCATGTGCTGGTTAGCTGCATTAACTCTTATTTGATGTTTATCAAGAGAAAACAGATCTTGTAGGTTTTTTTTCTTCTTTATAAAAACTACTCCCACCACTGCAAGATCTATATCAATTCTATTTACTATTATCTGTAGGGAGCATCATAATTTTTTTTGCCATTTTGGGATCGGACATGAATTTTAGTATTATTTCATGATTCTGTCGTCCAGTGTTGTCACTCGCATTACCATTTTAACTTTTTTATAATATAAAAGGTAAGGTCTTTTTAATGCATTCTGAGAAGAAAATGGCTTTATGACCCTTGGATCAGTGTTAATAATGAATTTGTAGTAAAACACTCTTTTCATTTCTTGCTGGCTTGCCCATTATCTAACATCCTTTATTTTGTGTGAATTTCTCTTCAAATATCCATGATACTGTTTTAAGTATTTCTCTTATTTACAATATTAAAGCAAATACGGAATGAATGCACCTTCCTGCTTTCTTGGAAAATTTTTGTGCACAGGAAATTTCACTCTCCACTTTGGTCTAGGTTTCCACAATACCAATAATTTAACGTGAGACAGCTGCTTGGCTTTTTTCTTTGTTTTCAGCAACTTTCTCATGCAATCTCATGTCCACTATGCTATTTGAATGGAGACTTCATCGCAAACTTACAGAGCATAGTCTATCCATTCATGATTTATAAAGTATACAATATACTAATGATATCCATATCCACTTATATAGAAAAATATGAAGTTCCTTTCCAGAAGTTCTTTTCTGATAATCAATTTTCCTTGGTTCAGATTTTCTTTGTTGTTGTGCAGGTTTTTTTATCCAATAATTTGTTGAGAGGGTAGTACTTCAGTATTGGAGTTATATGTTATACACATGTCAATACCACAAGTTAAAATAATGTAATTAGTGATTTACCTATTCACTTTTGATTTACATAAATTAAATTGTTCTCCCTGAAGGTAGCAGACTGTTGTACAAGAGAATTCACAGATCAGAAGAGACTTGAGATGTCTGTCTCAGAGTTTGTAGATCACTGGCTTGAATTTTCTGCAGGAAACTGTGGCGATGATGTGAAGTGCAATAAGAGAAGCCAATCATTATGGTACTTGAAGGACTGGCACTTTGTCAAGGTATCTTAAGAGTCTTGTTTGTCATTTGCTTCTTTCTAGTTGCTAACAGTATGTATGGTTGTTCCTTCCATTTTTCAAGAGTAGGATCCTATTCTGGGAAATTATCAAACACCCATATAGAATGTTTTTTCTTCTTCAGAAGCCCTTTATCATTAAATATCAGAATTTGTAGTTCAGTGATTAGTAATTTAGTATTAAATTTAAGATCCAAGAGAATTATGTTAATAAATTTGAGCATATTCAATTAAAATATATATAATGCTACAAGTCAATGACATAAGATTGTGATAGATAATTGGAGATTATATACCAATAGTCAAACTATATTCTTCTAGTGTTTCCATATTCTTCCTCCCTGTTCGGTACCTTTTATCATCTATCCATTTAGACCAACAAGCACAAGAAGGGGAAAAAACCAAATGGATGGGTGGGAGACTGGTGTTTTGTTCCCTTATGATCAAGTTCACATAGCTACATAAGCACATAACCAGAAGCATTTGTAATTCTCATATATGTTATTAGGGATGTAATGTCAGATCCACGATCCTCAAGAATTGGAATGCACTTGGAAGTTGGGAGGAGAAATTAGTTAGTTTGTTTACTTGGGTATATACATGGAGAATGCATGGGACGTGCATGAAAATTATGTGGGCGCGAAAAGGCTATCTATTTAGTGTCTGAGCAGTAGCTTCCATTACTTTGTTAGCCTTATAAGTACCCACAATTTATCTATTGTGCTATGCAGTAGTTTAGCGATGATGAGTTAGCCTTAAATATACTTATAAACAACTAAGTACGACTCTGCTTTATGTTTGTAACAATCTGTTTCTATTGAATTGCTCTGATGACACAGATGAACACTTACTGTATTTTTTTTCTTTACATTCTTACAAAGATATCTGCTTTGGGTCTTACTGGTTTTCTTAATCTTTAGTTCAGGAGTACCCCAAGTATGTGGCTTACACAACACCATCATTTTTTCTCGATGATTGGCTCAATCTATATCTTGACACCCACTCTATGCATCAACACAAGGATACTCATCATGATAAGAATGATATAAACTGTGCTGACTACCGGTTTGTTTACATGGGAGCTAAAGGTATGCTGAATATGACCTTTTCAAGTTCCCTACTTCACTAGCTTTGATTATTGTATCCATGCCTTCAATGATTAGGAATTATGCTGATTTTTGCATGCTTAGGTACATGGACTCCTCTTCATGCTGATGTTTTCAGGTCATACAGCTGGTCTGCAAATGTTTGTGGGAAAAAGCTGTGGCTTCTTCTACCCCCATTACAGTGTCATCTTATCTTTGACAGGTATCGTAAAACTTATTTTCTTAGAAATATATTGTGAATCACACACAATAAAAAAAAGAAAAAGAAAAATACTGGCACAGAGAGAACTAACAAATTTGTGATTACAGGAGGTAAACTAAGTATTTTGCAATTTCAAATTTAGTTTTTGAATTAAAAGCAACACAAGAGCACTGTAAACTTTTCTTGATTCCCTGGGAAACATTAACATTTAAAGGGTACAACCATTTATCATTGAAATAGATATATGTTGATCCGACTTTGAGAATGAGTATTTCCTGATAAGAATAAGTTATGTACTAGTGTTAAATTGTTAATAGTTGTGGTATGGGGACGTGGTATACTATTTGGAAGTTTGAACATAGACACTGAGAAGGGGTAGGTTTATTCAAATATGTATTTGATGCCATGTTACACTTGGGAGGTCATTTCAATAAATTATGCGAGTATTATATCTGTACTTGAGAAGAAAAAGTGACCTATTTAGACATTTGAAGACATGTAAAACCAAAGATTATGAGTTTTTTATAAAAGAATAAGAAACCCAAATTCAACTAAAAAAATGATCATAATTCTGATCATATTAAGTAATGAAAGTTCAAAATCAAACTTGTCACAGAGTAAGTCTGGGAATCTGCTAATTATAAGTCTAATAAGGAAATTTTTTATACTAGCTCACTGAATCATTCACATTTTACTGGCACACTAATATCAGGGAAAATGACGCTTCTTACATATTGTTAATGCAGGAATTTGAAAACCTCAATATATGATGTTCATGGTGATATTTCTGAAATAAAGTTTCCAGGATTCAGTCAGGTAAGTTCTCGTAAATTGTTATATATGTACCATTACTGCTTTTTATTTTCATTTACAAAATCTTTATTATAAATTATAGGCTATTTGGTGGGAATGTACTCAAGAACAGAATGAAATAATTTTTGTGCCAAGTGGATGGTATCATCAAGTCCATAATTTGGTAAGTTCTGCAGATATTATATAGTCATATCATCACTCTTTTAAGTGTAAATATGAAGACACTGATATTTATGATCTCATATGGAGAATTATTGCACTGCCTATGAAGACACTTGTATGCTACAAGAATATAATGCTTACATATTTTACGCATTTCCTGTACATTTTCAGCTTTTATTATTAGAAAAGGTTTCTAATATGATTTTCATTTGAATCTCTATCAGTTCAATGTTATTGAAGTTTTTATCTTGTCTTGTATCACAGGAGGACACGATTTCCATAAATCACAATTGGTTCAATGCTTATAACCTTTCCTGGGTGGTAAGTCAATGGCTTATCTATCAGTACCTAAATATAAGTATATCTACATAAAGTCAAGTTACAAAAATGACATCTTGCGCTAAGAACTAATCTAATGCTCATAATTTTTTGCCATTTTCAGTGGAACTTACTATTGAAGGACTACAAAGAGGCGAAGGAGTATATAGAAGATATCCGAGAGATTTGTGATGATTTTGAGAGCCTTTGCCAGAGGAATCTTGCAGCCAACACAGGTACAAATTAATAAATTAACTTGTTTGTACAGAAATAATCTTTATTTGAGTGGATGAGGACCTAGAAGTTTGTTTTCCCGTGAGAGGCTAGATTTTCTTGTTATACTGTAGGAAGATACTAAGAGCATAGAAAATGGTATGTTCACATGCTGCAAGTCTTTTGCTTATCAATCTGTGTGTGGAACTTTTGAGATAAATCATGAGATTCTAAAAATACATTCCAAATGAAAATTATTTTCTCCAAATTGTATCATGTTTTCCCAGAACTGTGTTATTTAGTATCCAAACGCAACCAAACGAAACAATTGATGAACAAAATGTTTTTTTTTCCTTTGGAAGTACTTGTCATTTCTCTGCCTTTTTTGTATATTTTTGATACAGTCCTTAGTTCAATACAGTCCTTTGTTCTTTTTGACTAACATCTTGTATACATTAAAACAGGCATGAACTACTATGATCTCTTTATCTTCATCAGAAGATTTGCTTTGGCCAATCTGACACTTCTCCATGATCTTAGAAAGGATGAGAACACCTTCCTTTGTCTGAGCAAGGCTCACATTCTTATTAGTAACCTTGTATCAATTCGTGAGGTTGCATTACGAATGGTGTCAGCTGAGGCCTTTGCAGAAGAGAATCTAAATAGATATTCTGAAGGAAACCTCACCGCATTGTCTGATATCAAAAAAATTACAGATGAACCATGCTTCATTGAACTATGCACGGCAATCTCTAGAACGCTTGAAACTATTGGAGGAGTACAAGCACAATATCATAAAGAAAGGAACCAGCCAATCTTCTCAAGTGAAGGGAAATTTGAAGTTTTTAATGATTGTGGTTGTATACCATGTACTCCAGAAGATCTAGTCAAAATGATCGACCTATTTATTTCAGATCTTAGCATCCATGGCAAAGATTTTAAGTTTGGCTTGCAATCTAATATCTGTGGCAGTGAAACCTTCAGCATTGAGAGAGTGGTGTTATGAGAATTATCAAAATATGTTGTCGGATCATGATATAATCTAAAATGACTGTCAAAGGATTAATCAAAAGACTCAAGTTTCACATTTATAGATTCATTTTATGGCTGTTATTAAAGGATAAATTTGTGTTTAGTAATCCATTTATTCTTTCGTTTTCAATATTTAAGGTTTCCTGCTCAACGAGTTATGAACAAAATATGCTGTCAAAGGTCGCTGCTGCTTTTGTTAACAGTACACATGGAACAGACTCGTTTAGCATTCTTTTTCGTACAAGTTGTCATGAAATGATTTTCCTCTGAGTGATAGATTTTGAATCAGGAATTAATTGGCTTTGATTTGATGGTATATAAGGTGGATTAGCTAATGCAAGGATTTACAAGAGATAAATGCCAAGTGCAGTTTTGTGAGGAATTTCTGCTGATGCGTTTTTATTATAATCATGTTTATCCATATATTAAGGGTTTTGGTACAGTAAGAACCACTCTGCGATTTTTGCTTGGAAATATCTCAAGCAGTATGAAAAACTTGTAGGAGAACTGAATTTGGAGCACAGCTTATGTTGGGTTTTCTAACATTTGTTGCGATTTGGAAATCGAGATGAGGAAGAGAAAAAGAACAATCACAGAGAACATAGAGAATTTTACGTGGTTCACTTCTCAATGAGAGAAGCTACGTCCACGATCGCCGTAAGAAAAATTTCACTATTCTCAGGTTAGGTTACAAGCTGCCCTAATCACTCTTTCTATAGCATAGGGTTCTTGCAAATAAGAATCTTAAACAGACCAGAAAACGAGCTCAGGCCCAAACCCGAGTCGCGATCGACCGCCAATAATGGCACGGTCGACCAACCAGAACGTCAAAAATCTTAGGAAACCAATTACAGGGTTCGCGGTCGACCGGACTTAGCCTCGCAGTCAACCAGACAGAGTGCAGAAACACATCCTATAGTGTGCATGTTTTACGGTCGACCAAGCCTTGCCACCCAAAATGTTGCTTGCTTCGTTTTTCCTATTCTTGCATGTTTTTTTCTCTTCAATGCAGTGAATAGGGTTGAGTCTGATAGTTAGGCTCCACATAGCCTAACAATCTCCCACTTGGAGACTAACTTTTAATCTTTATGATCTTTCCCTGCGGTGACGGCCTCCAATATTATTAAGTAATGAGGCCAAATGAGGCCAACTGAAGTTGAACACAACTTTAGTTTCTCCATAGTGACAGTCTTCGTAAGCATGTCAATCGGGTTCTCGCTTCCTTAGATCTTCACAAGCTCTAACACGTCATCATCCAAGGCTGACCTTATGAAGTGATAACGGACGTGTATATGTTTGGTCCTGGCATGAAAAGCTGGGTTCTTTGCCAAATGGATGACGCTCTGGCTATCACAGTGTAAGGTACTCTTCTCATTTTTCTGTCCCAACTCCTCCAAGAACCCCTTTAACCATATCATCTCCTTGCTTGCCTCTGTCGCAGCAACATATTCTGCCTCTGTAGTCGATAAAGCGACGATCTTATGCAACTGGGAGACCCTGATGGCAGTAGTCCCCAATGTGAACACATACCACGTAGTGCTCCTCTTCTGATCTATCTCACCAGCAAAGTCTGCATCAACAAATCCTTGCAGACCCACCTTGCCTCTCTTGAAGTATAAACAATTCTCTATAGTACCCCCACAAGTATCTTAGAATCCACTTCACTGCTTCCCAGTGTTGTTTTCCTGGATCTGACATGAATCTACTCACAGCTCCCACTGCATGGGCAATGTCAGGTCTCATACACACCATGGCGTACATAAGACTTCTAATGGTTGAAGCATATGGAACCTTCACCATATAGTCTTTCTTCTCATTAGTCACCGGACACTACTCCCTAGTCAACCTGAAATGACTAGCCAAAGGTGTGCTAACAGTCTTAGCATCACTCATTTCAAATCTTTCAAGCACCCGTCTAATGTACTCGTCTTGAGATAGCCGTAGTGTGCCCAAAAGCCTATCTCTGCTAATCTTCATCCCTAAAATCTGCTTCGCTGCACCTAAGTTTTTCATGTCAAACTCACTTGACAACTACTTCTTCAACTTCTTGATCTTACCCATATCTGAACCGGCTACTAGCATGTCGTCAACATATAGCAGCAATATAATGTAGCTGGTGTCAAGCCTCTTGAAGAAATAACAATGATCAGCATTGCACCTGGAGTATCCATTCCTCTGCATGAATCCATCAAACTTTTTGTACTATTGTCTTGGAGCTTGTTTTAGACCATACAAGCTCTTTTTCAATCCGCACACCATCTTCTCTTTGCCTTTCTGAGTAAACCCTCTAGCTGCTGCATGTATATCTCTTCCTCTAAGTCACTGTTGAGGAAGGCTATCTTCACATCTAATTGCTTGAGATGTAGATCCTCAGCTACAACAATGCTCAGAACCGATCTGATAGTAGTCAATTTGACTACAGGAGAGAAGATTTCCGTGTAGTCGACTCCTTCTTTCTGGTGAAACCCTTTGACCAACAATCTAGCATTGTATCTCTTGGAACCATCATGCTCCTCCTTGATTCTGTACACCTATTTGTTACTCAAGGCTTTCTTTTCCACTGGCAACTTCGCAAGCTCCCAAGTCTTGTTAGAGTTCAAGGATTTCATCCCATCTTTCATAGCAAGCTCCCACTTGCTCGCATCACCCACTCGACATACCTCATCATAGCTTTCTGGCTCAACCATCACTCAACAATACGTAGTTCAAATGAGACTTGGATTGTAATGATGGATACTTCAGATTTGGCTTGGGTACTCTAGTTGTCCGCCGCAACTCTTTGACAGGTGGACCAGGCTTTGTATCTGCATCTGTCCTCTCTGAAGTAATCTCCTCTATCATCTCTTCTTCCACCTCTTTTGCTACTTCTTTTGCCTCATCAAAACTAACCTCAAGGTTGCTCCCATCTGGAACATCATTCAGCTCGAAGTATACATGCTTAGACTGCACCGAGCTAGTGGACTGAATAGCATCACGATCTTTATAGAGGACTGCTTTATTAAAGACAACATCCCTGCTTCTGATGGTTTTTTTGTTCTGCTCATCCCAGAACTTATAGCCAAACTCATCGCCACCATAGCTAATAAAATAACATTTCAAAGTTTTAGAATCGAGCTTGTTTCTTACATGATCACTCAAATGAACATATGAAACACAACAAAATACTCTTAGATGAGAAAGGTTTACCTCCTTTCTGCTCCATATTTTTTCAGGTATTCTGTACTCCAAAGGTACTGATGGTCCCCGGTTGATCAGGTAGGCAGCTGTGTTAACTGCTTCTGCCCAGAACTGCTTTGGAAGTCTTGCTTGTAGACGCATGTTTCTAGCTCTCTCAGTCAATGTCCTGTTCATCCGTTGTGTTATGCCGTTCTACTGTGGTGTACTTGTCATTGTCCTCTCCAATCTGATGCCACTATCATAGCAGAACTTATTGAACTCAGAATCTTCATACTCACCGCCATTATTTGATCGCAGCTTCTTAATCTTCAAACTTGTTTCATTTTCTACCATAGCCTTCCACCTTTTGAACACTTCGAACACTTCTGATTTGTGTTTCAAGAAATAGACCCAAGTCTTCCTCGAGTGATCATCTATGAAGGTCACAAAATACAACCTTCCACCAGTAGACTGGATTGATGTTGGATCCCACACATCTGTATAAACTAGCTCAAGCTTCTTTTCCTACGGAGTTCTGTCAACTCTTTTGAAGCTTATTCTCTTCTGTTTTCCAAAGATGTAGCTTTCACATAAGTCAAGATTAGTCGACCTCAAACCTGGTAGCTTTCCATTCGACTGCATAACCTTTAGCCCTTTGCTGCTTATGTGACCAAGCCTTTTGTGCCACAAATTTGGATCTTCTTTGCTCTCAACCACTGCAATGGATCCACATGCATCTGTCGTCATATAGAGAGTCTCACTCTTCGTGCCACATGCAACAATCATAGACCCATTGGTAACCTTCCACATATTGAACAAATTTTTTAAACAGACCCATTCCAACTTTTTATTTTCAAAACCGACTCTTTTTTTTTATTTACCAAAACCAACCCGATTTTATGATTAGCAGATTAATCACATTCCTAAATAGTCGGGGTTGGCAACCCCGACTATTTAGGACGGTGTTAAACCCTAATTAGAAGCATTAAACCCTAAAAATTAATGTCCTAAATAGTCGGGGTTGCCAACCCCGACTATTTAGGAAGGTGATTAGTCTGCTAATCACAAAATCGGGTCGGTTTTGGTAAATAAATAAAAAAAAAAGTCGGTTTTGAAAATAAAAAGTTGGAATGGGTCTGTTTAAAAAATTTGTTCTCCACATATTACATGCGAAGGTTGTTATATATCCCTTTTTTGCCAACTATCCTATGGAGATCAGATTCGTCCTCAGGTTAGGAACATGTCTCACATCATTCAATTTCTATACGGACCCATTGAGGTTGATCTGCACTACTCCTTTTCCAACTATATCACACGCCTGGTCATCACCAAGGTAGACTTTTCCTAGATTTCCTGGAACATAGTTCTCAAATAGATCTCTATTTGAGGTAGCATGAAACGATGCTCCCGAATCCAACACTCATGATTCTGTTTTGCTCTCTAACAAGCAAATGAGGGCATCATTTGATTCTCCTGAGGCAATGTTCGCTTTAGTCTTGCTCTCCTTGTCTTTTTTTGGGTTCCCTGCACTAATTCTCATAGTGTCTATACTTGCCACAGTTCCAACAATCAATCACTTTCTTGCTTCTACGATTTTTGGATTTTGACCCGTCGTTCCTCGAATTTGGTCTTCCACGACTATTTCCTCTATTCATGTTTCTGTTTCTGTCTCTACTTTCAACATTCAGTGCCGACCCTGAACTGGAGACTCCTTCTTCTTGTCTTCTAATCTCCTCGGTCATAACCATGTCAACAACCTCTGAAAACTTCAGTTTTGATTTTCCAAATGACCCGCTAATCGAAATAGCGGTGCCCTTCCAACTATCAGGTAACTGACCAAGTATTAAGAGGGCTTGAATTTCATCATCAAATTTAATATTAACGGAGTTTAACTAATCCGTGATCTTATTAAATTCATTCAGGTGATCCTTGAATTTTTGATTCTCAGATATCCTCAGATTAAATAACTTCTTTATAAGATGTACCTTATTCGCTGCAGAGGGTTGTTCATATATGCTGGATAAAGCAGCCATGAGAGACGCCGTCGAGTCCTGATTCTTAATGTTGAAGGTTACAGATCTGGACAAGGTCAACCTGATTGCTCCAAGGGCCTTCCGATCTAACAAATTCCATTCTGTATCCTTCATATCCACTGGCTTCTCTCCCAACGGCAAATATAGATCCTTCTGATAGAGGTAATCTTCCATCAGCATCTTCCAGTACCCGAAGTTTGTCCCATTAAACTTCTCGATCTTGGACGTCTCCTTCTCAGATCCCATATCTAACCTCAAATCGCCTGCGCCGAACCTGGTCGCTTTGATACCAATTGTTGGGTTTTCTAACCCCTGTTGCGATTTAGAAATAGAGATGAGGAAGAGAAAAAGAACAATCACAGAGAACACAGAGAATTTTACGTGGTTCACTTCTCAACGAGAGAAGCTACGTCCACGACTGCCGCAAGAAAAATTTCACTATTCCCAGGTTAGGTTACAAGCTGCCCTAATCATCCTTTTTATAGCATAGGGTTCTTACAAATAAGAATCTTAAACAGACCAGAAAATGAGCTCAAGCCCAAACCCGAGTCGCGGTCGACCGTCAACAATGACGCGGTCGACCAACCAGAACATCAAAATTTTAGAAAACCAATTACAGGGTCCGCGGTCGACCGGGCCTAGCCTCGTGGTCGACCGGACAGAATGCAGAAACACATCCTGTAGTGTGCATGTTTTCCGGTCGACCGAGCCTTGCCTCGCGGTCGACCGGTCAGCACCAAAAACGTTGCCTGCTTCATTTTTCCTATTCTTGCCTGTTTTTCTCTTCAATGCAGCGAATAGGGCCGAGTCTGATAGTTAGGCTCCACATAGCCTAATAGCTTAAGCGCCTACTTGTGTTGAAGAGGTCAAATATTTAGGGCTGGCAGCATGTTAGGGTGTTTTTCTTATTGATTTTGGTTACAAGTAGGGTTAATTGCAATACTTTGTAGTGTGATTGTGTAATCAGTTTTACTTCCTAAATTATTTATTAGCACTTACATCACCTGGACGAAATCATTTCTTTCATTGTTGAGATGTCATGTGGTAATCATATAAAATAAGGAGGGGGAAAAGAAGAAAAAAAGATCTTGCCTTTGGTTATAATTCCAGCAAGTATCTCAAAGAAGATTATTGCCTTACAGGGCAAAACACCAAAAAGATAACATAGAACGCACTTGTATATATTTCCTTCACTTCCCCAAAATTTACATTGGCCTTAAAGATACGTATAAAAAAAATTGAAGACAGACATACACTTGTAAATAAAACCTGAAGAATCTATAACCGACCAAAACCATTTCTCAGTTTCAACAATAATAAAACTCCGGTCACTTAATTTCAAGGGCAATTCATATTTCTTCCTGGACCTCCGTAGTAGAAATAATTCCCCCAAACACTATTAACCCCTCCTTGTATATCATAGCATTCAGGATGATCAGCAAGAACATGAAGATTCGTCGCGGGAACTAAGCTGTTATCATAGTCGACCACCTGTAAGTTACGAAAGTAGGACGCTCGGCCAAATCCTTCTCTGGAGAAATGACCACTTCCCATTTGTGTCGATGTATGAGAACCTGAAGACTGCGAGTTTACAATTTCGCCCCCGAATTGAACCATGCTTGCATGGTTTGTTAAGCGGCTGAATAAGATGGATGGCCAGTAGCCCACAAGTAGGCCTGGACCAAACTCTAGCCACCAGTTTCCATGCTTAGGATCCTGTAAGTAATATAAATGGATTAAAATGTTTGCTTGATTCATAGGCACTTTGTTTGTTAGGTGATGGGAAACACTCTAAAAACTTAAAAGATTTATGAGCTCAGTGCGAAATTCATATTTATCTAGGTTATCGGGTTGCTAGATGATTCAAATTGTTCTGCGAGTACTGAACAATATCAAACAATTGAGTTATTTTATGAATGACATAGGCATGGAACTCATCAATTAAATCAACTGGGCTATTTTATGTTTAACATCTGCATGAAAACAACCATTATTATTTACCAATGCAGTGACTTGTACTTTTGCTTCTATCATCAGTGGGTTATGTAAATTTCTTTGTAGAGTCATCAATTGTTGTATATTTTTATTTTCCTTCAGTGTTTAGAAATCCTTTTTTCTCAAAAGTGTAGAAAAGTAGTTATTTGTTGTAAATTTGTAACAGATTTAAGGCTACAGGTATTTACGCATAGACATTTATTTACTAAATGTATGCCAGTTTAAGCAAAAGTAGATTAGTAGAATATCAAGATTATATCGAGGAAAATGTCCAAAAAAGTAAAATGAAGAAATAAAATCCAGGTGCATAAGAAGAAAATATGATACATGAGACTATTAAATCAAGTATGTATGTTCCCTCAAAAGTAGATGAGTAGAAGGGTATCCACATGGAAAAGTAGTGAATTGTCTCAGGGTGGAGAATCCACTGTCCTTGGCCTCAATGTGGGCTTAGCACTACCACTATTCAAATGGAGACCAAACCCCACAGTATGAACTTTCAAAATTATAGTAATCCCCTGATCTATTGAAAGTTCAAGGGGGCCTCTTGGATTTATAATTTCAGGGTGGCTCTGTGAAAAATCCTCCAAAGTTAAGGGTTTTTTGTGAAATTTTACCCAAAAAAATAAGTATATCCTTAATTTTGAATGATTTTATAAGGTACATAAAAGAAAAGATATTGAGAAATCAAAAGAAGTTGTCAATGTAGGGAGCTTTATCTAACAATTGAACTAGATTCTTTGTATAGAAGGAAACATTCTACCATGTAAATTACCTTCCAAATAAGAATACTGATGTCAAACTGGCCGCCATTGTAAACTGAAGCTGGGGAGATAGCAGCTCCAATGGCGATCTTATTATTAGTTTGGACGAAGCCTGAGCACAAGAGATTATAGCATCCAGTGGCTTGGTATGCATCAGTCTACATAATTGAGATGAAATTAGTATATAGAATGCAATGTCATGTAGAGCTGATTATATATACTGTCATGAGAGTCAAATTGTTTACTTACTGTCCAATAAGTGAAGAACCTTGGGAAATTATCTCCATAAAGCTGAGGGCTAACCTGAAAATGAGAACAGGAAAAAATTGATTAATTTGCTTTTTATTACTTTCTGATGCATGGATTTGTTATTGCCTGAACCTGTTGAGGCTAGAACCGAATTTTTTATGTAGCCAACAATTAAGAAATGTTTATTTTCGCTTACATTTTTATGCCTATAAAAGCTTATCCAGACTTGCATAGTCTCCCAAACTGGATCTTACTAACGTTTTATGATAAGACATGATATTTTGTCTATTTTGAATGCATTAATTGGATCCCAATTGGAAAATCCCTTCAATCATGGAATGAATTGGGTAATGTTTAATAATTAAAACATCAATGTTTATGAGTTTTGTAGTAGCTAAATCTCCCTATGTAGTAAAATATTCATGGGATTTTTTCCCCTTTCATTTTATCTAACTCAAAGAGCAATAATCATTAAAAGTCCCATTCTTCTTTAAACCTGCCATCCAGCTTCAATGGTGTTGAGATCTTCACCAAAGGATCCAGAAATGACCCAAATTTGAGACAAACTGAACTCTGAAGCACCTGTAACTTTTGGTGCCCACACATTCAAGCTAGCTTTTGCTCCATAGTACTGATCTCCACTGACATACCCTACTGCATGCTGTCACCAACCAAAAACATACAAATATCAACACCCTTCAAAATTTTCAGGCAAAATAGTAAATTACAGAGCACTATGCTTTATTTTTGAGGGAAAATGAAAATCTGCATATCAATCTATACGAACTTAAGTTTGAACATAGAAATCATCTCTAACCTCATGCCCGCCGCTCTCTGAATCTCTTCGCACTGTCTTTCTCCCAAATCTTTTAATGGAGCTAGCTCTCAAAATTTCTTCTTCTCTGGTTCTCCTGATTGCCACTGTCCCTTCAGGACAAGAGTCCCCTGAGCTCATCCATAATTGCTTAATCTCAATACTTTCACTGGTAATAAAATGTTTTCTTGGCCTCTTCGGTGGTTCCTGCATTGGTAACATAGTAAGTAGCTTAATTACATAAACAAGAAGCAGAGCATCTCAAGGCTTTGAAGGAGTACCAATGGCTTCTGTCCTTTTAGTCTTGGATGATCAAATGCTGGCTGGAGATGAGAAGGAACACAGTCTACAAGATCACCATCAGGACTCTGTAAAAGATTAGCAACAGCCCAACTCATCAATTCTCCTCAAATGCAGCAAAGAATAAAGACGGGAAAAGAAAAAGAAAAAGAAAAGAGGGATTTGGGTTTTTGGAGAAATACCTGAATTGTCTTCAGAGGTGGCTTGTTGAGCCCTTTGAGGTGAGCTTTTACTCTTCTGTACTTTATCAGCTCTTGGCGAGGCATGAAGGTGGTATTGGCTTGCAATGAAGAGGAGACGGAGGAGAGAGGAGCACAGAGAAGGATCCAAAGAGAGATGGTGATGATTTGAGAGGGAGTGGCTTTGCTAGAGCTCATCTTGGAAGAATTTTTGAAGGTGTAGTCCTTGATGTAGGCTTGTCTTTGTCCCTGTGCATTGAAGTAATGGTTGTCCTCTTGCTCCTCTCTTTCTCTGCTGGTACCTTGAGAATATCCTTGCTTCTATGAATCCAAGTTTCGCGGAATCCAAATTACAGGAGTTAAATCCCAGAATAAAAATAAGCCATCACATCCTCTCTTATACCACTTCTCTCTGTATGTCCAGATTGAAAAACTATAAAATAAATACGCACAATGTGCTCGAGGAGAAGAATACTTCAATAAGTGTATTTATCCCCAAATCCTATTGTTTTATAGTGAGTTTGAATTTAGAAAACTCTTAGGTCACCTGCTGTCCAGTACATCCTTTACATATGTATATTATACATCCAGGTCGAAAAGTTATCCAATGAATCCGAATACGGGGTGCTCCAAGGAAAAAGAATTCTTGCACTATAATTTTCTTTTAGATCCTCATATTTTGTACGGTTCAATGTATTTGGATAAATGTGACTCTTAAGAGAAGAAAAAACTTCGTTCAATGCATTCATGTGATTCAAATATAGCTTTTTAGACTACCAACTATCCAGTGAACATTATTCAGATCCCAATAATGTGGTTATAGGTTATTGTATATTATTGGAAAAAAACTAATTTCTGCGTATTTTTTAATAAATATTAACTGATTTCTTTTCTTTTATGAAATCATGAGGTTTACAGGTGGATGGAGATCGAAGAGAGGCTTTGAGAACTTCCTTCAGTGCAAATAACAAGGCCAACTTTATCTTTATCTCTTCTTTCCACTTCTTTTGTAGGGCGTTGTAATGAAGACATGCCCCCTTGGGGGGCCTCTTATTCCTTTCTTTGGACTCAGAGAAGGAATTGGATTTCATTCCCTGGTCTCCCTTAAACTCTTTTCTACTGCTTCCTTTTCTTTCTCCCCAGAAATTCTGTCAGATACTAGGACATAAGGTTTTTAAATAACAAACGAGATCTTCTCCTTTATATATATATTATATATATATATATATGATATATATGGATATATATATATATATATATATATATATATAGTATATATAATAATATATATAATATATATATATATAATTATATATATATATATATAGTATATAATATATAAATAGGGTTAGTTTGCTTCACAAATTGCCTATGAGATTTTATGTTTTCTGAATATAATAAGAAACATAATTGTATATATTGCAACTTAAGGTGTTATTAATCTGATCTAAAATTATTCAGAACCTTGGAATTATGCAATTGAGTAACTTCACATCTTATGAGCAATATAACATTGCTCTTATTTCAACCTCTTCCACTATGCTCTTGATGATCTAGCCTTACATCAGCACATAATAATATAAATTTAATTTAAAACTAAGAAGCTATGTTTTTGTTAGCAGTACAGCCTTATAACCTACTCTACTCAACTTTTGTGCCGCATCTGCTGTTATGTTTACCAAAAATGGTTGGGCTAATTCAATTATCTTGGACAAGATCAAAACAAAATTGATTCAATGACAGGTATCTAAGGCAATTTGAGAATTTAGGAATGTTATGATCCTGACATCATTTCATGACCCACTCCTAAGTCCTACCTGCCCTTACATAACATAGATATTATATTTCAAGATATTATATCTAAAAAAAGCAAGGATCATACAAACTAATAAAAACCAAAGAAAGTGTACTTTTGTTGATGGAAGCCAAGTCTAGACAGTTCTTTTCTTTTTTGCATGTGAACCATCTTATAATAATGTATTTATTGTTTATAAAAATATAATAATAATCAAAGCTGTTTATTGCTTAAATCTATAATTTTTCTTTCTTTTCCTTATTTTTAAGAAATAATTAAGCACCTCTAACTTTGTCAAAGAATTAGAATGTACCCACTGCCCAAATCGAGTTGTGTGCCCCATTTCCAAGGAGTAGAATCCTTAAACATTCTCTCGTCGATCACTATTTTATGCTAATAAACCAAGATCTGTTGTTCGATTACATGGAATCTATTACCACTATGCATTTAGATTCTATAGATTTTCACTAGCCCTACCTCAACAAGACAATTTTATATCTAAAAAAGATTTAAGATTTTGGGAACCTCGATAATTTAATGTAATGAAAAAGTAAATAAATGGGCTCAATTATAGAACCCGTATCCTTGCAAAGGTGCAATCTAGAGCTAGCTTCTTATTTTACTAGGTTTATCTATGTAATCAAAGTAGTTAAGTATCTAAAATGTGGGTGCACCAAGGCCATAAACTACTAATGATGCTAGCCACTTACATTACCCTCTTCTATATGTTACCCTTTTGTTTTCCTTGCGCTACAAAATCCCACTAACTTGATAGTGCTGTATTTTAACTTAAGACACAAGGAATATATGCTCACAGAGAGTAGCTCTTGCTCATGTTTCTCATAAGAGGAAAAGGATTAAGATACCTCACTTAAAGCATTGCTCCCCTAATTGGTATAGGGAATAGATTCTAATCTAACTCTAGCAAAACCTACTAAAGTTGAATAAGTTAATTATTCATTATTCTGTTCTATTATTATATTTTGGCAAAATATTAAGATTATGCAAGGCCTAAGCCTACTCTTGGTCAGACTCTTTGCAAACCATGTCTTTTTCTTTTTAGAGTAAGAGTGGCTTAATATTATTTCATGTTTTTGTTTGTTTTTTGTTTCACTATCTGCCTCTCCTCATATTAAGTTTGTCCATATACATTGTTACTCTCTAATTCATAAGTTTGAGATTTTTGGTAAATTGGTTTCTTGATATGATATTAGAATTTCTGATTTCATGAGGTCCTGCATTAATTCAAACCTTGCTGTTTCCTAATTGAAAAAAAAATGTGTCAATGTGAAGACAAGTGTTTAGAGTTTTTGGCTAATATGTTTATATGGTTTCTTCACAATCATAAAGTTACTAGTTGTTTACCATTTATTGAAAGGGAACATCAAATAAAATCTCCTACAACTTACAATGATCATTAGACCACATGAAAAGGTCTGAAAAATTGTAGCCAAAAGGCAAGCAAATAGTTGGCAGCGGCCAATTTGGACTACTTAACTCCACCAAATTCAACTAAAAGATTAACCAGATTTGATCCATTGGCAGTGGTCTCTTGGATTGATCAGTGTCACCCAATATTTTTGCTGTTTTTCCATAAAATCCATTGCCAACTAGTTGCATAAATAGCTACGCATGGTAACTTTATCCATATATAGCATTGCTTAGTCATTTTCAATGTACAACTCACAGGAGAAGCAAGTTAGCTGATCACACCCTCTCATGAACTGATGCGCCATTGGACCTCACTGGGAGTTGAGACTGATCTAAAGTTGAAAGGATGCATGAAAATTTTCCAAATAATCTTGAAAAGGTAGGAGGAATTGAGAATGACACTGAATGGGAGGTTGCAAATCTGTTGGCGTCGGTTTGGTCTCCAAGTGGGAGATTGTTAGAATTAGGGGTGGAAACAAACCTCCGCCAGCGAAGAGGAGCTCCGACGAGCTCCGACGAGTTCGATGGTCGCAGGCGAGCTCCGGTAGTCCAGCCGACGAAGCTCGAAGCCCAGGCGAGGTTGTCGACGACCAGATGCAGGCGACAGGACGAAGCTCGAAGCCCCCAGCTCTGCGTTCGAGCGATGGCGAACTCTGCGTCACAGCGGGTCCGAACTCTGCGTTCCGCCTATATAAACCCTCTTGCCTAGGGTTTCGCCGCTGCTGAACCCCCCCCCTCCTCTTCTGATCTCTCTCTGGTGGCGGCGGCGGCGATCTGCCCTAAAACGCAGCGGCGTTTTTTCCCTAAAATCGCAGCGGCGTTTTTTCCCTAAAATCGCAGCAGCGGTTTTCCTTTTTAATCCCCAGCTTCAACGTTGTTTTGAGGGGAGATTAAGTAAAGAGATTTAGAGAGAGAAAGAGAATTAAGAAGAGGGGATTTTATATTGTGGGGTATTTATTCTCAAGTGGGTATTGAAAGGGTTCATACCCTGTTATTATTAACACTGTAGCTACAGTGTTTATTTGAGAAATCCCAGTTTAGGGATCTGCTCCTAAAATTATAATTTCTTGTTTGATTAATAAGAAATTATCTGTGTGGCTCCCGAGGACGTAGGCAGTTGCCGAACCTCGTTAAATCTTGGTGTACTTTTTCTATACCGCGTTTCCGTTGCATTAGGGGATTTAGGCGTTAAATTCCCAACAACTGGTATCAGAGAGTAAAACGATCTAGAGGAAGTCAGATTCAAGTGGGAGTCATGGCCGCAGATGAAGGGAAGGTGAGAATAGAGAAGTTTGATGGATCAGATTTCGGATTCTGGAAAATGCAGATAGATGATTATCTGTATCAGAAAAATCTGTATCAACCTCTCTCGGGGAAGAAGCCGGAGGGTATGAAGGAAGAAGATTGGAATCTTCTGGACAGAAAAGCCCTCGGGGTTATTCGTTTGACGTTAACCCGCAATGTTGCTTTTAACATTGCAAAGGAGAAGACCACGGCAGATCTTATGGCAGCACTCTCAAATATGTATGAGAAGCCATCAGCCTCAAATAAAGTCCATTTGATGAGGCGGTTGTTTAATCTGCGAATGGCGGAAGGTGCATCGGTAGCACATCATCTCAATGAACTCAATACAGTCACGACCCAATTGAGTTCAGTTGATATTGAGTTTGATGAGGAAGTTCGAGCGTTGATCCTTTTGTCTTCCCTACCAGAGAGTTGGAACGCTACGGTCACAGCTGTGAGTAAGAGTTGGAACGCTACAGTCACGGCAGTGAGTAGCTCATCGGGAAAGAGAAAGTTGAAGTTTGACGACGTTCGTGATCTGGTTCTCAGTGAGGAGATCCGACGGAGAGAGTCGGGTGAAGCTACAACCTCTTCAGTATTACATACAGAGTCAAGAGGTAAAAGTTTAACCAGAGGAAATGGATCAGATGATAGGAGATCCAAATCCAGAAATCCCAACAGTTCGAAGGCTATCGAGTGTTGGAAGTGCGGGAAAACCGGGCACTACAAGAATCAGTGCAGGAGTGCACGGGAGGAGTGGGAGGCAAATGCAGATGTGAATGTTGCCTCCACCTCAGGAGGAGATGATGCGCTGATATGCTCTTTGGAGAGCAAGGAGGAGTCTTGGGTGTTGGACTCGGGAGCATCATTCCATGCTACTTCTCAGAAAGAATTCCTCGAGAAGTATATCCCCGGAAACCTTGGAAATGTATATCTTGGTGACGATCAAGCATG